CAGAGAAAAAGCTAAGAAGCTGAAGGTGAGAGATAGTTTGCCCATTAGATGACAAGGTTTTTTTTTATATTGAGAAATAATGGTTTGTGAGATTTGCCAAAGGATTTAGAAATAGGTACGTGTGGATACCTAACTGGCTGGTCCAGCAGGAGATCAGCATCAATCAGGGTGTGAGCAGAGTTCTGGAGGTCAGGCCCAATACTCCAGCCAACTCCACAACTCAGAAATTATACTCCAGTAAAGTGAAAAAGAAGAAATTGTTGAGACCGGAGGAACTGGGAGAAAAGAAATTCATTGACCTGATTCATGTTGGGATGTATCAAAAGATCCATAGCAAGCCAAAAGAGTGGGGTCATCCTGCCACTGTATCAATCATTGGTGAGACCGTACTTTGTACAGTTCTGGTCGGCCCAGTACAAAAAGGATATGGGAGAAAACGAGAGGATACTGAGGAAGGCAACCAAAATGATTGAGGGAATGGAGGGATAGAACTATGAAGAGCGACTGGGTAAATTGGGCATGTTTACACTGAATAAGAAGATTGAGAGGCGATATGATTGCTGTCTTTAAGATTTTAAAGGGGCAAAGCAATACAGATCACGACAGGCTGTTTCAACTAGTCCATAACAGTGAAACCAGAGGACAAGGCCTGCGATTGAAGGGAAGTAAACTCAGAACGAATCTACGCAAACACTATTTCAGTGATCGGATGGTGAACCTGCGGAACAGGCTCACTAGGGAGGCGGTTGAAGTAGGAAAGTGTTGATTCTTTCAAACACAGATTAGATAGTTTTCTTGTAGGAAATAACATTGTGGGATATAGTACAGAGGGAGTTCGGGATATATGTGCATGCGACCGCCAGGAAGGTGGAAGGTGAATTGGATGGACCTTGGTCATTTTTTCGTTATAATATTTATTACATGTACAGCCATAACCTGTTAAAGAGACCTAACCTCCACTCTCACTTGCTCTTCCTGGATCAGATTGATTAATGTTAACTGCTTTGTTTTCGTTTCTTGTAGCATTCCTCTGCAGTGACAGTAATCTGCAGAAATACTCGTTATTCCGTACCTCCTGTCTGGGTCATAACATCAGCACTGTAGTGTGCCTAGTTAATGCTAACTTCCCATCTTCTGCAGGTAATTCCAAGCAACCAGTTACATGATAGATAATTGTGTCTTCCTTATCAACATTTAATGTAAGAGTTATTATCGTTGACCTCTCAGTCCTTAGGTCAACACCATTCTCACTGCTGATTTCATTCAGCACCTGTAGTGTCAGCCTGCACAGAAAAAGTGCAGACCTTTTGTCAGAAAGAATAATCTAGCCATCTGAAGCAGTCCACTGAAATGTATGTTAACGCTGTTTTATCCAGCACTAATGAGGTAATGTGTGGAGGCACTCAACATGAACACTGTGAGCAGAAAGCAGCGGTGGAATAGCTGAATGCCTCAGTTTCTGTAGCCTGATGGAGAGCGCTGTCGAAGGGCGAGGAGATAACTTATTGATGCAACATTCCACTGAGCCAAATTTTTCAGGGGTTTTAGATGGATGAAATAATAATGACACGTTGAAGGCCTACAATCAAACTTAGGCCACATGATAAAAATTCACTGTCTTTGTCCCTTTGTGATCTTATCATCGACGTCTCAAGCAGTTTCTCCACTTGCCTCAACTTTACACTTCAGGAGATATAAAAGCAGCTTCAGCCTATTAAAGCCAACTCCTTTGGATGATGTCTGAAGCTGCGACTTGTGTTCTGATTTCTTTTTACTGGTGAGTGAGGATAGGTGATGCTCACTCCCATTAACTGAATTAAACCGAAACGTGTTCCGCTTAGGCAACGAGGGTTGTCCCCCACAGACAAGCCCCAATCCCCACTCCCCAAACTCTTCTAGGCTCAAAACTGTCAAAGGACAATGCGGACCCGATACCTATCTTCACGACCACCTGAGCAGACTCCTCTCGGGCAGGACAAGCCTGGCCTGGGCCCTAGCGACCAGGTGCTCAAGTCAGCTCCGTATTCCAGTGTCTCCACTTACTCTGTGTGAGTGTATTTCACGAGCGAATCTCAACAGGAGAACTTTTCAAGCAAGGAAATGGCTGGCACTGACTAGCTCAGCATGATGAGTGAGTGCTGCTGTCTGCAGTTCCCAGCACACTCGCGTTGCACACTGAGGGTGATATAAGACAATCTGTGGCCACCGTTAGAAATGGCTAAGTGTATTCCACTGGTCACTATTCAGTGCTCCTGGCTAGGATGTGATTGTGCATTGACATCAGGTAAGAGCAGACTAGGACTCAGCTATGAATCTCCCTGTCAACTCAGTGAACAAAGCTGCAAACAACACAACAACAAAATACACTTGTATCGCGCCCTTCACGTCACAAACACCCCGTGCTTAGACTCACGTGAACAATCCAAACTTGGACGAAGTACCAAAGGGATATTATCATCTGTAAATTCTTCTTCATCAATTGCCTACCAAATACAATCCATTCCACAGTAAATTCTGTGAAGCGCTTTTAGATGTTTTAATGATATGATCGAATGCAATGTCGAATGTACGTATTATTATTATTTTATCATTTTTAACCACTGAGTCAAGTCCTGGTATTTATGTTAATAATAATATTAATAAAAATAATAATCCTTGCATTTGATATAGCACTTGATCCAGGCCTAAACTGAGTCTGACTGAGAAAGGGGCAGGTCATTGATTACTGTGACTGAGAAAGCGACAGGTTATAATAATAATAATAATAATAATAATAATCCTTGCATTTGTTATAGTGCCTTATCACACCTTTGAGACGTTTCAAAGCGCTTCACAGAATATATTGTAAAGTGAATTGACTGTATATTTTGTGGGTGAAACGCAGCAGTCAATTGCTCACAGCAGCAGCCCACTGGAAGTCATGGATTGAGTGACCACATTTCTTTTTGAAGGGATTATTAATTATTGGATCACAGCATTAGAATCTTTACACGTTCATGTAAAGACACGCGTACAGTGGGCGTTGTCATTTTATAGACGTGGAGGTGCAGAATAAGACAGCTAGACGGGGAATATTTTCACATTCTCTATTTTTCTCACATCCCCACATTTCCTGTTAATGTCAACAGCAAAGCTATTTAACAGTAGAGCTGTGTGTGTGTGTGTGTGTGTGTGTGTGTGTTTAAAAAAAACCTTTTCAGCTTTTGACATTTTGGAGCTTTAGCTGCTGATCTGAGTGAAAAGTTAGCAATGCGTTGAACAGTTAGAGGTGTTTCTTGAAATGAAGATGGAAACATCTGGTTTAATCTTTTTCTGTGTGGCTTAGATACTAAACCACGCTCCCTCCTCAGTGGTAAGCAGCGTACACCTTGCTATAGATGCTCCTAAGGTATTGAATTCTTTTCTTCTTCTCAGATTGGAGTTAAATAGACCCCATCAGTAAATGCTTCTGTACTTGAATTAGAGGTTGTAGGAAGATATTTCTGTGTGCGTAGTGACAGTATCTGTTCCAATTTGTCTGTGCCATTCCTAAACTGTCTCCTGTGAATATCTACTGTACTAAAACCCTCTGAGAATCCTCCATTAAGCTGCCAAAGAAGGCAAGATTGAATTCTAGTGTCAGGGAAAGAAGCACTTTAAGCTTCCTTCATAGAAAGAATAAGGTGACGCTTCGTATTTCATAGTTGGCCAAGTCAAATTAATGATAAAACTCAAAGTGATTCCAACTGGCTGGTTGAAATAAATCTGTTTAGTTCATACGGTCACATTTCAGGAGTTTTGTTCTGTTAAGCTGCGACTTGTTCAAGGTGAGCATTGTGACCTTGACACCCTCATTTCTGTTAAACAACAGGTTGCATGTTTTGATTGGAAACAATTTTTTTTTTAATTTGCCTCCGTCCGTTCATTTAGAAAAGTAAATTAAAATCATGCAAAGATTATTGAGAAATTGAAAGATTAGTTTTAATCGCAACCATCGCCACAGGTTAATTTACCAGTTGATAATAGGAAAGTGCTTTGTTTAAATAACAGTCTATGTGAACCGCGTGCGCTTTTGTAGTTTTATAGGTTAAATGAAAGGGAGCTGGGATCTGAGTAATGGCTTTAGAAAGGTCTAAGTGTGAATTTATACCATTGACGTATTAACAATGCAGTCGTTATGCATATACTGTCTTAGCTAGCACCTCATCAATAATACCTTGGCAATGTTTCTAGCATCCCAGGCAATCATTACTAGTCATCACATTAGTAATTGCTTCACTTGCCATCCTATTAACTTGGCAAGTGGATTGTGCATTGTACCGTGTCTTGCAGATACTGGTAATGTAGGGTGGTAACTGGTATTACAAGTCAATGCCAAACACAGCAGTATTTAAAACTCCAACACACCAGCCCTAAATATCAGGGGCTGATCAATGTTATACCCGCTAATGCCATGAGTATGTTGCAGTGTCCTCAGCCCCCTTTCCCTTGCTCTTCTTTTTCAAGTGTTAGATAAGTGCGAGCTTCTTTACGCTTTCCAATAGATGGAACTGTATGAATCAACAATAAGAATGAATGCCTTCAATTAAAAAAAAATCAGAGCTAATGCCCACCCAGCAAAGTTCTGGAGATAAACAGACATACGTACTGTGGTCTGAGTTTAGCGTTTGCCTTGTACACTGATTGCTCTCATCTTTGCGATGCGTTGAGCAAAGCCTGTCTTGAAGGATCACCTCTCTACAGTGACCGCTTGAGGTCAACAATGTTGATAAGTCAATGAATCACGCAGGAACTTGGTATTAGAAGACCCCCTGCTTGTAAAGGACCCCCACCTGAATTCGGTCCCAAAGGTGGTCACTACAGCCAGGTTTCTCAGTGCTGTGGGTACAAGGGCGATCTGTTCACAGCAGGAGAGAACCTCGTTCTGCAGGCCAGCTGACTGAAACCTTACGCATTAAATGCCAGTTGCACATCCTAGACGTGCTCTCGGATATCTCTTACATATTGCTTTTGTTCTCCAGGTCGTGATTTGGCCAGCACAACTCTCCCTGGTTACCCTCCACACGTGCCTCCTGCTGGACAGGGCAATTACTCGGCTCCGACACTGACGGGAATGGTTCACGGTGAGTCTGAGGGAGACTGCGTTTCCCAAGTAACACTGTGTGTGTGTGTGTACCTCAGTCAGTACCTGTGTGTTCTGCTGTTGTAATGCATCGTTGCTGCAATCACTGGCTCAAAGAGGCAGTGGAAGGAGAGCTAAAACACTGGTCTCATTAACCTATGTACGCTCAGCCACTTCTCCACAGGGATAAAACACTTAGACACATCTCCTAATATTTCTTCTTTCACTTAACTGTCAGGTTTACCAATCTCCAGGGATTTCCGTAACAGACTGGGACAGAAAAAGGGTTTGTTGTCCGAGAATAGTGATGTGGGTAAAAATCCAGTCATTAATAGGACTCGGAAGCCCAGCTGTCCTTTAAGAAGACCGGTAATTTGTTTTTAATGAAAACATGCATTTTATTTTTAAATGACCCTTAACAAATTAGTTTGCAGGACTATTTATTAATGATCTGACTGAGCGCTACAAGAACAATACTAGGCCTGGCACTGCACTTTTTTTTTTTGCACGTGTTTCTGGGGGAGAACAAGCCCCGTTCATCAGTGCTGGCTTGACTTTGATTGCTGTTTTGACATTTGATAATACTGACAATAGATGCTTTAGATCTGGACTAAAAAAGGAAAGGCTCGCTCCCTGTGTTGTTCTGGATTAGGCCCCGCAATCCAAAACGTTACTTTTATCAAAAGCACAACAGTGATTTTGTTTTGTGCTTTTAAATCACTGACTGACTAACTAGTCAAGCAATCTAACCCTGACTATCGGAGAGGAATAAAGAACTGTCAGGCAAACTTTATTACTGGAAGAACGGAACACTCGTAGCAGGGTAGGGGGTGAGAAAGCTCCTCAGTGAACTGGTTTCCTCTGTGTTTGCTGTCTCTAAAACACAATAAATCAGAGAAGAGCAGTGGAGTCACCAGAGCTGTTACTGCAGACTGCAAAATGAGGCTTTTGCTATTCATTTCCTTACCATTACTTTTCATTACAGTTGGAGTTTTTCAAGTGTAAACTAGAGAGCAGCTGTATAAGGAGATCCCACTGGAGAGAGAGGGAGACACACACGCACACAGACACCCACAAAACCATTCTGTTTGCAGCAAAGTACTCAGGGCAAATCTAGCAATGAATTGAAAAAGAATAGAAACCGCGTGAAAATTCATGCACAAGTCAAATCTCTACCGGATAACAAACTCGTCTCATTGCTTATTATCATTCACTCTTTCCCAATGATCTGTCTTTGTGTGTGGGTGTATGTAATCAAGCGTGTGTGTGTGTGTATTTTTTTATATGGTGCTCACAACTGCGGTTCCTATTTTAATTATAGCTTTTTTGGGTGAAAAATTAATTTTAAACGAGGCCCTCACACCCCTCAGACATGGAGGAACAGTGGGAACTTAATGAAGTGGATTCCTTTTTTTTGTGTCACAGAATTCACACACAGTTGTTCCTTGAGTAATGGCAAAACTCCTGTTACAATTGCTTACAAGTGGCCAGTTATTGTGAAGCAGTTCTAATTGTTCTAATGCAATCCAACACCTCGGATGATTTGCCTGAATTAATTACATTATACTGAATTGAAGTTTTCATTTTTCCTGTTAAGCATGAGATATTTTATCCGCCACAAGCAAAAAAAAAAAGGGATTTCTAGAAAAAAAAATCTGTCAAAAATCGGTGGATTATCTAAACATTGTTTAAAATAGGAATCAATTGTTTTAAACTGTTCCCTCGCGCCCCCCCCCCCCCCCCCCACCCCTTTCCTGTTTAGAAATCTCCTTGCATTTGTAATAACGGAATTACCATAATTTGCTCGTTAATGCAACTAGATCAGTCAAGCATTTTTGAAAACAAGCAGGAGCCGCTCACTGCTATAGGTCTGGTGGCAAGTTAAGGCAACGTGAAAATTAGCATGCAAATGGTCCTAATTCCACAGTCGAGCTGTCAGTTCTGCATTCAGCAGCCTGTTTCATTTGAAATCCCTGTCAGCGGTGGCTTATCCATTCCCACCCTCAAGTAGTTACAAGCACAAGAGGCATCTTGGGGCACTTTGTGAATGACAGTTTGGCGAGTTTCAGTCAAACAAATCAGTCACGTCAACGTGGAACAGCATATAGCTCCTCAGAGGGTGGGCTCATTTCCTCTGAGCCCCTCAACCAAACTTTCTCTACCCTATCAAAGGTTGAGGCCGATGGGAGAAGGTCTCCCATTGTTTGTCCGCAGCTGCAGGCCACTAGGGAATGTGAGGGGAAGAACTCTTTCTCGGCCTACAGTACACTGATTTTTCTTCCAACAAAAACACTTGCATTATCATTTTAAACTGTAAGCTGCCGTAAACCGTGGAATTTATTTAATGTGTGTTCCGCCTGCAGTAAAGGAATGGGGGAGCCGAACAACGTTTAAATGGTTAAAGACAATGATCTTGTTTGCAGACCGAAATGTTTCCCCATGAAAAGGGGCACTTAATTCGAAGGAAGGGGAATGTGTTGTAGGTGATAATGAAACGTCAAAAGTATCAAAGCACTAACGTATCTATGATTTTTTAAAAAAAGAGTTGAACGGAGGTATCTCGAGGCTATAAGCAGACTGACAGATCATCCTAACATTTGATGTAAGCAACTTTCATGTCGGGAGGATGTCTCAAATCACGTCACAAATAAATAAATAAATAGTATATAGTCTGTATCACACACATAAAATAAGCATATATATCAGTAATATATATCTCACATAAATTTAAGACATATTCCTGAAATCTGTCTCAGAATAGCATTTGTTTCACATAATGGAGGTGTTTTTAGTAGAGAGACTTTTATTTATTTTCTTTGCTTCTTTCGATTGTTTTTTGATGCCGGTAACACACAAAAAAACTCCCAACATTTTACACGTGAAACGACAACAAGGTTTCATCTTTTTCAGCCTCTTCTGAGGAGAAGATGATCTTTTTGGTGCTAAATCACATCAAATTCCGCTTGTGATCCTCTTGACTGTTTCAGATTAATCATTTGTGAAATATTAAAATGTTACGTTTAAGCAATCAAGTTGATCGAAAGACTTGTTTGGGAAGCTCCAGAAACCTAATTGTCTTGTGTGTATAAATCATGGAGTTAATTTCTGCTCAGATAAGGTGTCCTCTACCTCACCTATTAACAAATATAGTTTAAAAGGAACTGAAGGGCTGAGCAGCTGTGTCTCTTTGACAGTAAAGGACGTTAAACTGCCCCCATCACATTGCTTTGGACGCATGAATGGAAAACACTTAGGCAAGAATGAGCTACAAGGCATTTATTATCGGGCTGGTGCTTGCCATGCTTTCTTCTGTCAGGCCTTGAAGTTCAAAATATACAGTCAGTTCACTTTAGAGTATATTCTGTGAAGCGCTTTCAGTCGCCTCACTGATGTGATAAGGCGCTATATCAAACACAAGGATTATTATTACTATTAGCAACGGATCAGCCTCCGTGTCCAGGGCTCTCTGTGCCTGGGCCTCCCTGTGTCTAGGCTGCTGCGTATCTCACCTGCCTGTCCTCTCACTGTATCTCACCTGCCTGTCCTCACTGTATCTCACCTGCCTGTCCTCACTGTATCTCACCTGCCTGTCCTCTCACTGTATCTCACCTGCCTGTCCTCACTGTATCTCACCTGCCTGTCCTCACTGTATCTCACCTGCCTGTCCTCACTGTATCTCACCTGCCTGTCCTCTCACTGTATCTCACCTGCCTGTCCTCTCACTGTATCTGCCTGTCCTCACTGTATCTCACCTGCCTGTCCTCACTGTATCTCACCTGCCTGTCCTCACTGTATCTCACCTGCCTGTCCTCACTGTATCTCACCTTCCTAGTCTATGTGTTTCCATTTTAAGTGGCTGGGGTTATGAATGAACCTTGTAAATCTATTTATTTGACCCTTATTAAGAAGGCGAGATCATTATTAAATCTGAGGGAAAGACTGACTGTTTACACTTTTTACAGTGGAGCCTTCTCTTTAAGTGACATTCCTCCTGCTCTTTACATTCACGCACATTACTGATCCACGATGATCATTAGAAATCATTGTAACTATTTGTGGATCTCCGCTTATGTAGGTCTATACGGTATTGTGGCTGTCTTTGCATGGGTGTATGTGTGTGTAGTGTTTGGGTATATGTTTATATATATATAAATTACTCATGTAAGATGTGTGTGTATGGTACTTGGATATTAATATGCGTTGTATATATTGTGTGGATTGTGTGCTTATACACATAGTGTGTGTGTATATGTATATATCTATACTGTATATTGTTGTGTGTTTATAATACGTCACTGAGTTAAAAAAAACAGCTTTCCACAAGTAGAATATCCAACTTATCAGTATAAATATCAGTAGAACTGACAAGGTTACAATATCCAGCTGTTTTGATTGATTTTCCTTGACTGCAAAAGCAATAGAAACAATCATCATTTATAAATTGAATGCACGCTTTTGCATGTCAGTGACAGAATATGCCAGCAGCGAGACAGAGGTATCTCCTCTCGTCAGCCGACCGGTCACCTCTGCCTGTGGAGGGAGTCAGCGATGCCGGTGGCTACCACACAGGAAATGTTACTTCTGGTAAACGGAGTGGTGCAGGGGTTTGCAAACTGGCTGTTCCTGGGAGCTGTGTTTAAATCAAGCCCAGACTGATGGGATGAAAAAATGTGGTGCGTCTGTCAGGCGTGGATTTGCAGCAGAAACCTGTCCTTATGTCAAACCTAAACTGAGTCTGACTGAGAAAGGGGCCGGTCATTGATTGTGTGACATATTGTGTGACTGAGCAAGCAGCAGGTTATAATAATAATAATCCTTGCATTTGATATAGCAGCTTATCGCGTCTTTGAGACGTCTCAAAGCGCTTCACGGAGTATACTGTAAAGTGAATTGACTGCATATTTCGCAGGCGAAAGGCGGCAGCCAATTGCGCACAGCGGCGTCCCACAGACAGTCGTGGATTGAGTGACAGTTCATAAAAAAAATGTAAATGATGGTGTG